ACAAACACCATTTATAAAAATGACATCAAAATATTGTGCATGCATATTTCATTTCAAACGGCGCAACGTTTACGTGTTAAGGTAATAGATTTTTTTTCAGTTACCTAATTGGCAACTTACTATAAAATAAAATTTATAAAAACTAATTAATTTGTTTATTTTACAATTTGGGAACAAATGCACTTTACCAACCCCCTCACAATTTTCAATTTTTTTTTCATACTTGTTTTTTTATGATTAAAACGATGGTGTATTTTTTTTCCGGAAACCATTATTTCGGAAGTTATAGCCTTCCAAAGTTTGCGATTTTACGTTTATTCRCATGCGCGCAACACCACTACTTTACTGCCGCAGTATGGGCAGTGATTACACAGTTTGCGGCACTCGGCGCCATCACTCCACTCCGCAAATCAAAAATATTCCTCAATTTGCTGTGTAAAACCACCTTGGGTAGGCCTCGGAATTAAACAATGTTGTTAAAAAGCAAATATCTTYGCAGGTAGATGACCGACTAATGGTTACCTATTTAGTATTTACATATATATTAAAATTTCTTAAAAGCGCTGCGCGTGGCAGTCAAGCGTATAAACGTAAAATCACAAACTTTGGAAGGCTATAACTTCCAAAATAATGGTTTYCGGGGGAAAAAAAATACATCATCGTTTTAAGCATAAAAAAACAAGTCGTCTGAAAAAAAAAAATTTGAAAATCGTAAGGGGGTTGGTAAAGTGCACTTTAGCCACAATTTGTATTATTATTATTAGTATAATAGTTTCATTTAGGTAATTTAATTTTACCAATTTTATTATTTACTTATCTAGATATACGATCCAGAGAATAAACGTTTTGAGCCACCATACCCTGAAATACCAATACTTAAATTAAATAATACTATTGAACCATTAGTRTCTGACTATATTGTAAAATTATCCGATAATAATGTTGGATTTGCAGTTCTAAGGAAAATTGATAATTTAACCATGTATGTATCTTACAATTTTTGGCATATAAGTTGTCTTGATTTTGTTTGCATATATTTTTTTCACCTAGATTTGACAGTCGAAATATTGGAGGTTTCATTTATTCTGATCAGTTTATTCAACTCTCAGCATTATTACCGACCAAATATATATATGGGTTAGGTGAACATAGATCTAATCTCATGCTTGACATGAATTGGAAAACATATACTTTTTTCAACCACGATAGTCCTCCGACAAATGATGTAAGTTAATATTGTTATTCAGCTTATWATATTAAATATATTAATCTTATATTTTTATTCAGATGAATGGATATGGTTCACATCCATTTTACTTAATGATTGAAAAATCAGGAAAAAGCCATGGAGTTTTTTTATTCAACAGTAATGCTATGGGTATGAAATAGTTGAGATTAAACCAGAAATAAACTATACTCTGTTCAAAATGAGATCGGATCTTGGCGGCGACCAGTTTTCGTTCGCGACGGTCAGGCCGAGGCGCAGAAATAAACCACGCCCATGCGCACAGCTCGGCTGCCGAGGTCCGATCTCATATTGAACAGAGTATAGTTAATAATATTTTCCCATCTAAGAAGTAGGTGTATACTTGTTTTTTGCATACATGACTTTTTTCACAGTACAATTTATATTATGTCAAATAGCCTAAGAGTTATATATATATATATATTTTAAATAGAAGACTTAAAATATGAGTGATWATAAAATTTTTGTTGAATTTATTCATTTTTACCTAGATGTTTATTGTACCATTATTATTAATCTTTGTACTAATAATTTCGTAATCTGAAACTTATAATTTATAAATATTAAACTTAAAATTTATA